TGTTAGGTTTGAAAAGAAACAATTGTATTTGTCATCAACAGTTTCACTGATAATACTGACCGGATACGACGAACTTGTCTTTCTGCTGTGCTCATCCATAATGAAAATCCGAGCCAATAAAGGAATAGGCTTGAACATCCAATAATTATATACCACTTGATGAGATGAGAGATCGCCGTATAAATATTATCGGTCGAGCCTAATTCCACAACATGAAAACTGAAACATGATAAAACATTCTTTTTAGAGAAATAGAGAAATACTGTTTTTAGGAGAATTTTTTCGATTCGAACCAGAGCTGATCATCTGCATCTTAAACTGCCTGCAAGCTGCAGGCAGTGCAGGCAGGTTGTAGTTTGCAGGCGAATGAAAAAATTTTCCACTGACGACCGGCAGATAAAGAAAATATCTTCCTTCCTGCACTCAGGGCAGTGCAGAAGTTTACACCCTCAACCTCTGCCTGTGCAGAACAAAATATTTTTTTGCTAACCTGCAAATTGCAGCGAGGGTAAATTTTATTTTACGATACCACGCAGGGGAGAAAAATTATGCAGGTGATCAGCTCTGATTCGCACAATTCTTGAAGTTCTTCTCCTAGATTCGATCTGCCGACCTTTCATACGCTGCACTTCTCCAACTACGTATTTTCCCATTGCACTAAATTGTGCAAAAGGAAACTACGAGTTATCCTGATACATTCGTATGAAAGGAATACGGGAAAATACACGAAGAAGTGCAGCATATGAAAGGTCGGCAGATCGAATCTAGGAGAAGAACTTCAACAATTGTTCTAATTAAATTGTCTTTGTATTTGAAAGCAGTCAATTAGGACGAGCAATTTAAAACTCTTTTAGATTTTTTGTTTTGAAACACGTACTATCTCTGCCAAGAAATTTTCTTACCAGTCTCCAAAATTTGGAGAGTTACTCTAGCACGGCGAGTTTTTAATACTGTAGGCAAAAATATATGTGCTTTACAATAACTAAACATAGTACAGAACAGAAAATTAGAAAGATTAAATAAACACACAAAAGGACAGTTTTAAATGACCCACTTATTTTTTGATGAAACTTTCAAAGTGATATGAGAGGATAGAGAATCGAAGTTCTCTACAAAATGCACTATGTTTTATTAAGAACTAACGTTAGGAAAATCGTTTTGCAGACGTAATAAATTTTATGTGGTTTCTTTCGGAACTCTTATTTTATATTTCCTTTCAAATCGGATCTTAGTTATCCAATTACCAGGTGTTATCTATCAAATAAACCCTCGCAAAAGAAATGTCAGACAACAGGTCAGTCCGTCACTTTTTTGTTTTTTTTTCTCTATTCTGTAGCGTTAGCAAACAGTTTCCTTTTTACCATTAGATAGAGCAATGTCTTGGCTACAAGTTCTGTCGTAACAAGTTTTTTATCTGGTGAGATGAAAAGCGAGCACCTTCTTGTAGTAGTCGACATTCACTTCCATTTCTGATTAGCCTGTGACGCTATGTTTTTTGCTGTTAAGAATCAATGAAGGATCCAACTCCAGTGCTTTCTCTACTGGAAGAGCTCTTCATCGAGATGCACAGAATGACGCAAGAAACAGTTTTTTCTCTATCATCGTTATCAAGAAAATCTTAACGGAGACGAAAAAAAATCAATCTGTTACGCGTGGACAGGCTCCTAACAAAAAATATCTAGATGCCTTTTTATTTTGCGGACTGTAACCGATGTATCGAGTAATACAAACATGAAGAACAGCTCGATGTAGCATCACCCACGACTACCCGCTTTTCCGTGCTTGGGTTTCTTCTTATTATAAACCAGAGCTTTCTATGTTCTTTGCTGTATCTTTACTCAATCTATTAAACGTCATATCTTATTGCATAGTCAAGTAAAAAAGGAATCAAACGCTATTAGTCCTAGTTATTACCATTTTGACGACGCCGTTTGAGTGGAATTCAGACTGTTTGTTACATTTAGTTGATTAATTTGCTGTAGTTTTCCAAAACTGGTTAAAGCATTCGCCACCCTTTGAAATACAAGTAACATCAAGGAATAGCAGACACCGGCACCAGTCGAACATATAGAGCCAACAATCATCATTATTATATCCCATCGATCAGCAAACTTGTGCTAGGAAATAAAGAGAAAAACAGTTAATATTTTAGCTGTTAGTTGTATTCGGGTACAGACAATTTCAAACGGTTTGATATTTCTTGTCTGTTGCATTTTAGAGTCATGCGATCTCTTAAAAAATCTAAAACAGGAAAAGTCTATGCAACCTGAATAATATGTATTTTGATAAGTCGAAAAAAACAGTACAGTAATAGGATGTCACTTCGCTTAGACATAAAAGCAACTTACGGTAATTTAGATAAAACCAAACTTCGCATTGAATATCTGGATGTTTTAACAGTAGTTACATTAATCGTCCTATCCACATTTGCCATCTGTTGTTCAGCTAAACCAATTGGATCTAATTCATACTGTGGTTCACTCTCTTTGGCATTGTCTTCATCTTTCGAAAATGCCATATTTACCTCTCCGGTAACGATAGTGGGGCATTGTAAGCTAAAAGTTGTATCTTACATTACCTTGAATGAAGGAGTGTGGGAAAAGGTCAAAAAGCATAGTGCAAAAGATATCGATATTTTGAAACGGTGAGTAAAAATAATTCTACTATGACTTACTTGTCCGCTACCAGATCAGATTTTTCGCATTTATTTGTTGAATCTTGCGGCGAGCATCCAACAGAAAGAAGAGCAAGAGGAGAGGCGTGTGCAAAATCTTCTTTCTCTTCATTGAATCTTGCTTTCTCAGTTACCGAACTGCTGTCCAAATGTTCCGCAGATGATTTTCTCATTTTTGACACTTACTACAAGAAGAACATGTATGAAAACGTTAATGAACTGTCTTTTACCAATGGCAACTTCGATTATTTTCACGATATTTCTTTTCACATATTTTTTAACTATTATAGAATTTTCTGCAGGTTTTGGCTTACTGTATCTTTATTGCTTAGCCGGTCATGCGCGCATGCCTAATGTTTCTTTTAACACTCGAAATGAAGCTTTATTCTTTTTATATGTCTTTATTAGTGACGATGTACTATCACTTAATTTTGTTAAAGCTTTATAGCGTTATTGTTTTTTGTTTGTTTATGGAAAAGAAATCAACCGTACCACAGTAACATCAACTGACATATCACTATTACCTTTCGATGAAGTTTAGTCAAACAAAAGCAATATACACTTATCTATATATCTATCACATTTTAGATTGAATATTACAATAACGGTAAGATAGTGCTTTAAATTGCTGTACACTTCTTTTACAGTAGAATGTAATACTAGCCTTTTTTGCATGGCAATAGAAAACATTGGTATAAATCGAAAGGAAATTTCAACCTTGAATGAAATTCGGCTGTTATATGTAAATTCCTTTCCTCGTCACATACGAGTTAATGCTAAGTATCCTGGAGCTAAAAATCACCTCGATATAAATGTTGAAGTTGTACGTTTGATGGACCACTAGTTAAATCAGGTATGAATATGGATGCTTTTTATTTCTTTATTTTTTTAGAAAAAACCCGTAACTCGTCGTCCAAGACCGTTTAAACTTGGTCAGCATCTCATTTTGTGGAGAACTGAAGCGACTATATAATGATACGGTTGAAAAAGTTCTCAAAGAAATTTTTATGATTACTAAGTTTTCTAGAAATCCCTATTTCAACGCGTAGCCTAACTTTTCGTCATCGAAATATATAGAACTCGACACGCTCTTCCATTTGATACCAAGTTCAAGGTAGGTAGGTTTTATATGGATTGAGTCTATCCGTCGATGCTGAAATTTCACTATAAATTTAATATCTTGCGCTCTTCTTGGAAGTTTAAAGCTTTTCTTTTGTCATTTTATCATTCCACTCTTCTAGTATCTATCCTAAACCGCTGAGCCTTACTGAGCTGGTTACGCACGAGATAATGAAAGGTGAAGCAGTAGCGATAGCGCCATCTATAACTTGCTAATAAAACGACTTCTAGAGTCCGGACTTGCACTGTTTTCTAGCTTGATCCAAGTTGTATTTGTGCTGAAATTTTCATGTCTCTAGGTCAAGCTGTTAGAAAATAACACACTCAAGATTAAACGCTAGCTGATCCTAATTCGGTGTCATAGACAATTGTACAGGGTGCGTAAAAATGTTTTTCCAGGGGGGGTAACGCTATAATTGCCAATAGGGTACGTAATGAATTTTATACCAGATGAAAGCCCGTCGAAAATGAGATTCATTGATGCTAAATAGTAAGTTTTATCAAAGCATTTTAGTGTCGAACTTAAGAAAGTTTTAGAAATTGTACACTTTTTTGGGGTAGAAAGATAAGACGCCAGTCATTCCAATGCAGAATAAACATTTT